ATCATATACATAATATTAATGCAAAGGTAATTAATCGTAGTAGTAGCAGCAGGAGCAGCAGCAGCAGCAGCAGTAGTAGTAGTAGTAGTGGAAGTCGCAGTAGTAGTAGTAGTAGTAGTAGTAGTAGTAGTAGTAGTAGTAGTAGTAGTAGCATCATCATCATCGTTGATATTATCATTATCACCATCATCACCATCACCACCACCACCACCCATCATCATCATCAACCTCATCATTATCCTCATCCTCATCCTCATCATCATCATCATCATCATCATCATCATTATTATTATTATTATTATTATTATTATTATTATTATTATTATTATTATTATTATTATTATCATCATCATCATCATCATCATCATCATCATCATCATCATCATCATCATCATCATCATCATCATCACCATCATCATCATTTTTGAATTAAGACAAGCTCATTTTTCCACCAGGAACAGTCTCGTGGTGATCCTGAGTGGCCTGTATGGTCTGCTTCTCATCGTTCTCGGCCTGGTCCTGCCAATCACGGAGACATTCGCAGACGCCAATCAACCGTTTATGTTTGAGGTATGCTTGTACACTGTGCCCATTGACACGATTGGTTTCGTTCGGTTCAGTTCTGTTCTGTTTACTAGCCAGATTGAGAGCGCAAAGCGGCTATCGTGCCACAAAAACGATCGCCCAACTTGTCACTTCGAAAACAAACGCGTTTGTTTTCAGGCGACGAGTCGGGCGATTGGTGGGCGATCGTTATGTATTTAAGAACCGATCACTCAATGAGTACTCCGCATTAGCAATATATTATTTCTCTCTCTCTCTCTCTCTCTCTCTCTCTCTCTCTCTCTCTCTCTCTCTCTCAAGGGCGAAGGCTGACTTGTTTGACAGAGTAATCAAAGTGAAACGGGATCAGATATGGCCTGTAGATATCACACAAGAATCTTACTCGAGGCGGCGACTCTGAGTTGTGAATGAAAACAAATCCGGAATTCATATTGTATGTTCAACCGCCAAAATAATCGGGAAAGTATCAGTTCCAACTAAAATTACATTTAACTTTAGATGTGAATACATAAACAAAAAGCAAATAAGCAGAGATGTCAGTACTAGATCTATATGTTATAGATCTACCAGTGAGTCTAACTCTTTGGTAGAACATGACAATTATCATTTTTTAAATTTCACATTTGGCTGTTTTTTGTTAGCCTTTCGCGGCCAGGAGCTGGTGTCATAATCGAGGTCACGATCTGATTATAGGACGGTAATAAGTCGAGGAAAAAAAAAAGCAGTCAAGAGATTATTAGGAGTTAGTTCCCCTCACATTTGTGAGGTAGACTCGACCAGTGTTAGTTAGCTTACATAATCAGGGCTTGTGATTGATTATAACTGTGGCCCCAAAGGGGTGAACATGGTATATGTGGCAATGAAACAGCTTTGACTGCTATGCACATGTTCCCTTCAACTCTATTGGTAGACTCTTCCAGCCTCACTTTAAGCTTACTTAATCAAAGCTTGCGACTGCTTATGGAGTGGCCTGAGAGGGGTGAGGAGGCTATTTCTGTGGCCGTGAAACCGTTTTGAATGTTAGGCATACTGTTCATTGTTGATTACGAACGTCTTTTTACATAATTTAATTTAAGAGGTTTACGTTTAAGAATGAATTTGACAGCGACAATGTTTCAAATTTAGGAAGGGAAGCAGTGATTTTTTGATCATATAGACGCTTCGCCCCTGCTCTCTCTTGTCTTTTAAACGTACTGGTATATCAACATGACATTCTACTCGCTCATCTTTCGTACGTGGATCAACTACATTGTATTTTACCTTGTGTGTTTCCCCAGGTGTACTATCTGTACCTGTACGCGGTGAGCCTGGTGTTCTTGCTGTATGTGTACAGCTACCTCCTGAGGAAGGAGGAGCTCAGCATTCTCGGACTGCACAGAGCTCTGTCCAGAACATTCTCCAGGACCTTCAGCAAATCGTCGGCCAAAGTATGTTGTCAGCTGATTGGTTGTTAGTCAGTTTGCCTCGACTGCAGTGAGGTTACTGAACACATAGTGCTACAAATGAAAGAGAGAGAGAGAGAGAGAGAGAGAGAGAGAGAGAGAGAGAGAGAATGTTTTACGGAGCGGGTTGTTTCAGCACTTAAGATATGTATTTACTAATGTCCTGTCTTGTTGCGCTTATATGCTTGAGTGCACCTAACCTTTGTAACATTCACTTCCGTTGTAAACGACCAAGACAAATTTTCCCCTGTGAGATAAATAAAAATTGTCATTGTCATATTTGTGTGGGTCTTTGGATTGGTTGAAAATAATGGTTAATCCATGTGCTAGATCCGTAGCCTGCGTGGTTGGCGGGTGCTCTGGTGTAATCTGCTCCTTCTTTCCAATCAACAAACATTTAACTTCCTGATCCCTCTCCCCCTTTTTTTGTATGTTACTGTTTTGTTAAATCCTCTAATCGTCAGCACTTATTTGACCTAATTAATTTAATTGTGGTCTTATTAAAACCAAACTAAACATACCGACACAGTAAAAGCCATTAATTTAGTGTATGGAAGAAGTAAGATATTATTTATTTTACAGACAGAAAGTACAAAAGAAAACAAGTAGGACCTATCAGTGGCACCTTCTTACCATCCACCTAGCTATGTACGATGAACTGAGAGTCACATATCGTCCAGCGTAAACGACCTCATTGGTTAGTTGTATATTATTATGTTTAGCGCTTCCACTGACACAGTGTTGATGTGCAAAGGGGGGGGGGGGGTACATCTGCCACTTCAAATGTGAAATACCAGACATGAATGTCTTATCATTAGATGCACATATATGAGAAATATGCTTTTGTGGATGTCTTCAGATTTTGCTCGTTTTTGACCCAAGCCAAGATATTGTTTGACAGCTTGTTGTGTATTCTTTGTGATATTCATTTTCTCCGAGGTTTTTCTATAAGTTTTCATCCCGAGTTGTATTTACTGCCCAAACAAGGCTCCGAATTGAGGTATGTTACCGATAGAACTTTTGTGATGGGAAACGATATGGTGGTGAAGGGTGCTAGCATTGATTTCTGGTACCAGACTACGCTGCTTTTTCTTTCCTCATCCTTACTATCGTCATTTTCCTCTACTTCTGTTGTATGTTTGTCACTCTCCTGTGAACTGCTATTTCCGAGTTGCCTTGATAGTCGAAGCAGAATTTGTGCTGTTGAGGCTAGGGAGGTGAGCAGAGTAAGCCTGATTCCCCGTTTGGACATCCCTTGGCGCTCATACGACCGTATGCAGTAAATCATTACCTACTTTTACTTATTTACTTTTACTTTTTCTACTTTTTCATCCTCTGTTGCCGTTAAGTGTCGAGGGGAGATGCAGTTTTCTATGGTAGGCCAGCTTCGCAGCTCTTTCAACTTTGATGTTATGTTTTCTTAGGGTTTCCTTGACACCCTCGATCCACCTTTTGCGTGGCCTTCCTCTTCCTTTATAGCATGAGTGCTTGGTGTTGTAGGCTCTCAAGGCTGGCTGGTCAGGTGACATGCGTAACAGGTGACCAAACCATTTTATCCTCTGTCGTTCTATGTAACGCAGGCAGGACTCAGTGCCGATAGCTGCTCTTACTTCTTCATTTCTCAGCCTGTCTCGTCTTGTGATATTAAGGGTTTTGCGGAGACATTTCATTTCTCATGCGGTGATTTTGCTTTCATGGGTTTTGCTTAAGGTCCAGGTCTGGCACTGATAACATAATGTTGGTATGAATATTGAGGTGATAAGCTGTCTCCTTTCGAGAAATAGAGACAAGATGCCAGAGAGCCAACGCAGTCAGCTACCAACTCGGCCCTCTCCTGAAACATCCCAATATCCCCATGAGCACCAAGGCGAAGCTCATCAACGCCATTTTCCTTCCAACGCTCACATATCAGTGCCAGACATGGTCCCTAACAAAAGCCCTAGAGAGGAAACTGGTCACATGCGAGATGAAATGCTTAAGAAGAGCGGTCAACAAAACAAGAAGAGACAAAATAAAAAATGAAGTCATAAGGGACACCGTGGGAGCAACACCAGTCCTACCACACATTGAAAAACAAAAGGTCAAGTGGTTCGGACACCTCACGCGGATGCCCTCAAACCATCCAGCTCTGAGAGCATACAACACTAAATATTCTGGATGGAGAGCCAGAGGAAGACCACGGCGACGATGGAGTGAATCTGTGGCAGACACCCTTAGAGCTCACGGGATGTCCCTCCTACAGGCCACACGACTTGCTGCAGACAGACGCCTGTGTCTCCCCGCGACACCCCAGGGTACAAGCGGAAGAAAAAAGTAAAAGTAAACTAAGCTGTCTCTTTGTGTCCATGGAGATGTTTGGATGAGATAGAAGGAGTGCGAGCTGGTCGGTGACAGCGTTGGCTTTTTGAGTTCGCATTTCTATTTCTCTGTCTATGGACCCGTTTGCAGAAAAAGTGCTGCCAAGATATTTAAACTCTTTCACCTGTTTCAGTTGTTTACTATTGACATGGATGTTCATGGGACTATGGTTTCGGCTCACTTTCATAACTTCTGTTTTTGAAGTGCTTATTTTCATGTTGAATTTCTCACAGGTGTTGTTGAGTTCGGTAGTGTGATTTTGGAGGCTTTGTTGGTCATGATGAATTAGACATTGGTCGTCTGCGAACAGAAATTCATTGAGGCTTTCTGGGCTTTGGTTTGCTTCATGCGTTATTCTGTCCATATATATTATAAACAGGAGGGGAGATAGAACGCATCCCTGTCGTACTCCAGATCTTACTTTGAACCAGTCTGTATTTCCTTCCTTCGTTCTTACTGAGCTTCTGCTGTTGGTATAGAGAGCTCTGACATTATCTAACAATTGTCCTCTGACACCATACTTTTCGAGTGTCTTCCAGAGTTTTGCATGGTTTACTCTGTCAAAAGTCTTCTCTTGGTCTATAAAAGATGATGTTCGATTCTTTGTTGTGTTCTATTGTTTTCTCGCATATCTGCCGTAATGCAAATACGGCATCCGTGCATCCTCTTCCCTTTCGGAATCCAAACTGAGCTTTGCTCAGATTTCTCTCCACAATAGGTCTTATGCGCTGCTCTAGTATCTTTGCAAACATTTTTCCTGAGTGGCTTAGTAATGAGATGTCTATGTATGTTGTGCAGTCGCGTTTGTTCCCCTTTTTTCCATAATGGTGCCACTAAGGCTTTCTGCCAGTCTTCCGGGCATTTTCTTTGTTCCCAGGCTCTGTTGAAAATACGCCTCAGCCACAGTATACCAGTGTTTCCACAAGCTCTTATGGCTTCCGCTACGATGTCATCTGGTCCTGGGGCTTTGTTTTTGGGGCTGGTCTTGAGTGCCTTTTCTATTTCACTGGGAAGTATTGGTGGTTCTGTTTGATCTCCATAGGATGGTTGGAACTCTACTTGTTGTCCGTGGCAATCATTACCAAAACTAAAAAGAGAGGTGAGCAGAGTAAGCCTGATTCCCCGTTTCGACCTCTCATGAGACCTTATGCAGTTGCGAGCGCCGTAAAACATTACTAAAACTAAACTAAATCACTCTCCAGGTTGCCCCACCTACAGCAGGCCCCTGGAACAACCCCGGCGAGAGGAGCTGGCCCAACATTGCCGCCTCCAGAGCGTCTCAGTCCCCCCACTCCCGCGCGGGCCAGGTGCCGCTACTAGTGCGTCAGAACAGTACCATCAGCTGCACGTCTGTCCGGCACAGGCGGAGGAAGATCGCCTTTAATCCCAACAACGCTCACCACACAGGGAGCTTCTACCTCAGGGTCGGAGTTATAGGTAAGGTTTGTTTTTGATGATGATAATATAGTGTAAAGCGCATAGAGCCTGCTATTGAGCGGGGATATGCGCTATACAAATGCTATCTATTATTATTATTATTATTATTATCATAATGATGATGATGATGATGATGATTTTTTTCCTTTTCTTTCCTTAATTGGCCTGGCGGACTCCACGAAAAAATCTCTGAGCCAGAGCGAGGATCTTTTTCGGCTTCATTGTCAATATATGCTTAGCGGTACCTCAACTCGTCCAAATGACTCCATTCGAATTGCCATTGTTCATGGACATTCAAACATATGTTTGACATCCTCCTTGATGATAATGATGATGATGATGATGATGATGATGATGATGATGATGATGATGATGATGATGATGATGATGATGATGATGATGATGATGCCTGAATAAGCCCTAGAGGCGAAACATTGAGCTGTGTCTATTAAACAAATTTTAAACATTTTATATTGTTATGCTATTGTGTATGAAATTGAAACAAGACTCTCCCTCCTACTCTGCTTTCCGAACTATGATGATGATGATGATGATGATGATGATGATGATGATGATGATGATGATGATGATGATGATGATGGTGGTTGTGATGGTGGTGGCGGCTATGATGATGAAGATGAAGATAATGAATTTTAAAAATAAATTGTGGTCATTTTTATTTATTCCAAAAGGGCCAAACATACACAGACATACATAATACATGATGATGAAAGAGCGACGTTTTTTAAAACTTACATTCTAAAGAAAAGATATAATTTCTCATCTCCGAACTTGGGGTTTTTTTCGTCTCAGGATTTGGCATCGGCAGCATGATACACAGCGGCCTCACCTTCGGCCACTACTTTGAGATCAACCACTTAGGAGACCCGTGTAGTGACGTCATACAGGCCATCAAGCCTTTCTTCCACTGCTGTTTTTCCTTCGTGCAGATGTATTTTGTCTTCATGAACTCGAAGGTAGGAAGACCGGTGGCCAAGAAAATCAAATCTACCCTACTACAAAAAAAAAATTAAAATAAAAAAATTAACCCCAAAACAAAACAATACCACAACAACAAAACAACAACAACAACAACAACAACAAAAACAACAACAACAATAACAACAACAACAACAACAACAACAACAACAACAAAAAGCAATGGAAAAAAGAAAAGTGAATAAATTAACAGACCCATCCCTTCTCAAAAAAAAAAAAAAAGAAAGAAATTATGGTAACCCAACGAAGAAAACAGCAACGACAAAAAAGACAAACAAAATTGAAAAAAGAAAAAAAGATCCTGCTTCAGATTTACCAACATCTTCAGATTTCCTTGCTCAATTTATCAGAAACAAAATGCTACATATCACTCTTTTTCCGTTGTTCGCGGGGAATTTGCATGGACGATTAAAATTAAAGAGTTTTCTAAACACGTACAAGACGTAGATCTGGGTTCGATTTCTGAATGGGAAGGCTTTTTTATTTTATTTTAAAAAAACAGAATTTGAACTTCAATTTAAAACTGCAACGACAACAAAAACAAACAAACAAACTACCCAAGACGTCAATCTGCTTAAGGCACACATTTTCCACCTCAACAGATAGATAGATATAGAGAGAGAGAGAGGGGGGGTAGGAAGAGAGAGAGAGCGGGAGAGAGAGAGAAGAAAGAGGAGGAGAAAGGGAGAGAGAGAGAGAG